AAAAACCTCTCCCCATTTCATACTTCTTTCTATACTATGTACACTATAGCCTGAGTGATTACCACGCATGGGATCCTCTACAAGGAGAATTCCCAAAAACTGTCAGTTTATGGTGCTCAACAAGACCAAAGGAAACGACCTGAGAGATGTGGGAAAGGCTGACAGTGATAACAAGCCTATATCATCCATTTGCTCTTTCATTGCAAGGGGAATTTAACACGTATGGGCTGAATCAGAACATCAGACATGGGCCTTAGGTGAAGGGGAAAAGAACATGTCAAATCTGGTTCTCCCCCTGCTGAGCTCCAGCTCCCTGTGAGGATGTGCACAGCCTGCCCTGCAAAGGCAGCCTCAGGAAGAGGGCAGTCGCCGTGTCTCTGGACATCTGGCCCCCACGCCAGGACATCTAGCAGCTGTGGATCTGGAGTAGGCTGGAAATAGGATCAAAACCAACAAGAACAGCAAACTTACTCTCTGCCAATAGTAGTTTACAACCCCCAGCAGGGAGGAGCTGAACGAATAGCTTGAGAAAGTCGCCACCTCTCTGAGGGAAACGCTGCCAATATCGAAGTCATTTCACCAGACACAGAAACCAGGAGCCAACCACAGGGCTAAGAGCAAGTAAATCAATCAGCAAAGCACAACCGCCACACTCGGCTCTACAGCTGGGAGCATAGAACCATCACAAGCAAATGCTTGTCCAACCGAGGCTGCAATCATGTGTTTTGCTACCAAATTTAATCAGTTGTAAACCCCTAACGTTTACACCCCTACTAGTGTGTGTTTTCCATTCTTAAAGCCAGAAGACTGAAGAGTCATTTCGCTTTTATTTTTAGTCCCTTAGTTTCTTATGTTCTAACACAGTCTGTTCACATCTGGGTGACACTTTAGCCATCTCTTTGCCCAGTAATTTCCACTGGATTTCTATTAGATATTGTATTAATTTGTTTTCTGTAGAGTAGTTTTGAAAAGTTTATTTTTTTCCAGCTAAACAGACACAACTGTGTTTTTCACAATTTGAAATCAATTTGTACATTTCAAAGCAACGGTATCAAATATCAATGAACACATAGAAAAAAAAATAAAAACAGGAGAAACAAGAACAAAATTTAAAAAAACCCCAAGACACACACAACAAACCGAAGTCAGTAGTTTCATGGGCAGCATAACAACCTCCGGTTTTAAGACGAACAAGCACCAGAATGCTCACTGGCGTTCGTATGCAGAAGCTTCTCCTGCAGTTGGTAACAGGGAACTCCCGCCCCAAAGCACCGTGTTCCAAACCCCCTCCTTGCGAAGCCCGATGGAGCGGGGACATCTACTGGCAGCAAAGATTAGCGGGGGCAGGAGAGGCCGAGCCAACGGTTTAAATTTAAACCAAATTACATCCACCGATGCTCCTGACAAATCTAAAAATTCCTAATCCTGCCATTAGATAAGGATTGCTAAAAAAGATATTTCAGCAAAAGATATTCTCTCAAAGACACTGCTAACATTAAATAGACAAATCTATATCAGTACTCTGGTAATGTTTACAGAAGGGAAGGCATTTTACTTGAACTCTTTTTATTATCAGCAAGCACACAGAAAGCAACATAAAACACCTATTTTTTAAAAAATTGGTTATTTAAAGGAAAATTATTATAATAACGCACCAATAAAAGAAATGGCAATTAGCAAGTCTAGACTAACGTGCCATCATCTTTATTTGAATATTCACATTTCAAATGCACATCCAGCTAAATAATACAATAGCCCTCACCTGATTATATAAAAAGAAAATAGGAGGGAAAAAAAATCAGGTCCTTGGTTTAGTTTGGATTTTCTTTTTAAAAATCTGTAAAACAATTGGATCTAGAAAGGAAAAATTTTAAAATTTACTATAGGCAAACCTTGGCACAGATCAGGAATTTTCTGCTTTAGAACATTTCAAGTCATCTTTAGATGCAATCAGCTTTTAGCAGATACTGTAAGCAGTTGGCTGAAAATTCGTTATGACAGATTTTGTCAAATACAGTTCTATACAAAACAGAACACGACAGATTAAACTCCCAGCCTTGCAGTTCATTTTAAGTGACTGAAATAAAACAAATATTGTTTCAAAAACTAAGGAGCTGAAGAGCTTTTTTTCTTTTAAAAAATGAGGAACTGAATTTTGCTAATAAAAATTCATTAAAAATATCTTAGTTTACAGAAAGAAGCAAAACTTATAAGACTGCCTAGAGTAAGTCTGCTCTGCAGATGGAGAAATTCCAACGGCAAACACCTGATTCAGAAGCACAGCTGCAACTACTGAAATAGAGAATAGCCATTTCTAACTCTTCAGTCTCTGCTCATCTCAAACAAAAGTAATAGGAATAAACTATCTTTCCTATAAGCTGGGCAGGAACACCCTATGGGATGGTCCAACAGAGAAATCATTTCTGGGTAAAATTATCAGTATCAAGAGAACAGGAGCAGAAGTGAGTAAAGGAATCATCTTCAAAGCAGCAGTATCAGAAGTATGAAACTAGGGAAATAAATACAAACAATGCTAATTTCATTTCTCAATTATACAATATGGCAACACAAATGCAGGTAAGTCATTTTGCTGTTTGCAAGCACGGAAGAAGCTTCTTTTTGATAATCAAGTTTCATGGCTGTGAGGACCTTTTCTTTAACAATAGTAAAAGTCAAACGATAGTTCTTTACCAAACTTCACTTCTTGGGTGAAAAGAGTTAAAGCTTAATGCTTTCTGTATTTTTGATATTCTGTTAAACCACACGCATGTAAAGACAGCAATCCCTCTGATAAGTCTTTGTAACACAGCATAGTCTAAAAATTCAATCTCAAGGAGTAAATGCATTCATCAAAGAATAAAAAATATTTAGGCCTTACCTCAAGTTCCCAGCCTTCCCCAGAGACAGAAGCCACCATCCAAAGACATTTGATGCAAGTGTTTGTCTTCCATTTGTGAAGAACTCCTGGATTTGGAGCCAGCTCATGGGCTATAAGGCCTCTACAGCAAAATTGCAGGTTATCAGCCCCCAGCCGGCGCTACCTGGGGCTCATGCTGCTCACAGAAGTGCAGCTGAGGTGGAAACGTAAGCACAGCTTAACTTCCAGCAGCCACCTGCCTGACCTGAGGGCTCCAGCCCTCGGAGCAGTTCTGCCTCAGCACAGCCCCGCTCACCCCTGAGGCACAGACCCTGCCGGCACAGCCCAGCTCACCCCTGAGGCACAGACCCTGCGGGCACCGGGCACAGCCCCGGCCCAGGGAGTGGTGGCTCAACGGCGGGATTGTTCCTCAGCTGAGGAAAGGAAACTCCAAACGCCTCCTGCAGACGCGCGGGTGGCTGGGGAAAGCTGCTCCCGTCCGGGGGTGAGCGCTGTGGACACGGCGGAGGGAACCACAGACCCTCCGGGCCCCTCCGCCCCTGGAGCCGGACCCCAGGAAACCTCCCCGGCCCGGGCAGGCCCGGCCTTACCACGGGAAGGGGGAACAGGCAACCGGTACAGGTTTGATCCCACGGTGGGTGCCTGGCTGGCCCTGCCTCCCCCTCACACACCCACCACGCACCCCAGCAGCACTTCAGTTTGTAACTGTTCCTCCCCCCTTCATTCCCTTCAGTACAAGCAAGAACGTCAAAGTTCGGAGCAGGAGCACGCCCAGGTCGGGGCTGTTGACAGACCCCACCTGGGGGTCTCTGCTCTATCCAAAACGCTGTCACCGCTCTTGCAGTCATTTTACTCAGATAACTGCTAAAAACTGGATACTGCTCCCAAGTCCTGCGTGTTGTGTTTGGTACACGCACAAACATGAAGCCTGAAACATCCAAGTTCACTTTCTATAACTAGTTTCCACCATCTCATGCTAAACAGGCATTGCAACAGCAGTTGGTGATGGTTAAGCCTCTTCTTAGTAGACAGGCAGATACACATTTTGCACATGGCAGAGCCTGTTTGCAATTTCCATTCATGTTACCATGGGACCGTATTTAAAAAGCAGAACTGCCATTATTGTCGACTAATCCAGAAAGGTGTTAGAGGAGTAAGGGGAATCTGTGTAAATCATGGCTGATGTTACTTGAGGTGTTCCTCTGCAGCCCTGGCTCAGCTTGCCAAGGAAACAGAAAAACACAAGTTCCATGTGTTTTTTTTAAGAGAAAAATAAGACATTTCAATAGATTGCAAAGCCACAACTAAGATGTGACCAGCTGGACCATGGCAGACTGTAACAGTCTTAACAGACGGACTATGTAGGTCCCAAATTTTTTAAAAGGGAGAAGCATTCTCCTCCAAGGCACATGGGGCATGTTAATTAAAATTATGCAATCCTTTCTACTATTCAATTACTTTAAAAGTAAGGCTTGTGGCAGATTTCACAAAGATAAATCTTAGAAACAGAGTAATGCAAACAGTTCTACTTTAAAATAATGTAAAAGCTTTTCCTCCAGTCCCACCCAATTGTGCTGAAACTTCCTTTTGGAGATTTTAATGATGAAATGGCATCTGGCATGAGATAATTCTGACTAGAGAGAAATAAAACATATTATCTTTACATGATTCCCTCCCCTTCTCCATTTTTACAATAAAAAGGCTGACTGGCTCCATCATAACTTAAATGTAGCATTTTGGGTTGCACAGAAAAGCGAGTGACCCATTAGGTCAATTAAATCCAAACATGAACACAATTTCAAGTTCAATACTTTGTTTCCTCTGGCAACAGAATGAGAACACTAAGCATGTAAACAGTTACATCACCGTTGCCCAAAGAGTGTTCCACTACAAAAGAAACATGCCTCATGCACATTTCTGGCTTACCAGCACACTCAAAAAGGAAAAAAAAAACCACAAGCAAAGTCATACCATTCACTCAAAGTACAAATGCTTATCTAAATCTAGAAGAGAGAAGTGTGTAAGACGTTATTTATCAAAGAATGATGCTCTGTGAAAATACATTAAACCAAAGCATACATTAAACCAAAGTTTAACGTACTTCCAAAAGCCAATGCACATAGTAAGCATCTCTTTTATTTGTTGTAATATAAAGAAGCATACATCATTCAGTTCTTTAAAGTACAACTCAAATTGTACACTAACAAAAAGGATCAATTCAGACATCCATGAACATGTCAACAACAGAATTCATTACATTTTGCTCTGCTGGTATTGCACTTGGAATGGTTTTGAAGTAAGGCACAGTAAAAACAAAGTCATTTAGTGCTTCTACAGCAGATGTCTTTTTTTAAACACATGCTACATGACATAAAAGTACTTCTAGCTTATGTATGTACACACGGGAAAAAGAAAAAAGCATGCACTAGAGAATTCAGATTCCAACATATCTTGTTGTTTCATAATATACAAATAAAGTAGTTTAAAGATGTAAACAAATTGCATGCACATAAACTAGAGCAAAATCTTTAATACAGTATCTGAAAGCTATTATGCTTAAATAAAAAAATATAACTTATCAGTACTCAGGTTTATGTGCCATTTTTGTCCTGTAGAGATTAAGTTTGTGGCTGGGGGCAGCAAGTTATGGGCAGGCAGGGAGGGTTTTTCTGATTTTGATGTTGGTTTTATTTTTTTTGCTTTGCATGTTGGCAGCAGTACACTGGTAAGAAAAACAAATATGGCTTTTGCAAAACAAGGTCTAATGAAAACATGAAAAAGCAAAATTGCATTTGGGGTCCAGCATCCTGATATTTTCCAGTCAAGAACAATACAAACCAAAAATCAATATGATCTACACTTTGAACTGGGTAAGTCATGCATTCCAAAAGACCTTCCTAAAGACATTTAAACTCTACAAAAAACAGGACACTTTGTCAAGTGTAAACTCTTAAAAACTAAACACAGAAGAATCTGAATGACTCAAGCTTCGCTTTCCACTTCAAATGCTACTAAGTTTCTCCCAAGGCTGCAATAGCTGAAGTGCTGTTAGACTGTCTTCAGAATTAACTACATGCCAGGAGTGGTTTACTTATTTTTACACAAGTACATTAGAAATTAAGTAAATTAACTGCATAATTTTTGCTCTCACTTTATCTTTGGCATAGGATGCACCATTTTTCAAATTAAGTACAGGACATTTACCACTCTGCATTCCAACTTGTTATGCTGAAAAGGCACATTTGTTGCTGCCCAGGTGGCAAGGGAAGACTTCTTATTTTGCAAAAGGCACGGTGTTGAGTGCGACATTCTCTCCTCATCCCCCAGAGAGAGGTTAGACCAGGTACAATTCTACACAGCGGCTTCCCAGGAGCTGTCCATTTTTCTCAGCCACTGCTTTCTTAGCTAGATCCAGGCTTGGAAAAGTCACCAGTGCCTCGCCACTGGGCTGGCCACTAAAGTTGTAAAGCATGAGGATGGAATCTGCTTGGAGCTGCAATGGTACAAGAAGACAGAAGAAAAAAACCTATAAAGACCAGAGACCACACCTGGAAATGCAATTTTTAATGCTGCACATCTGGTTCACTCCACTCGTGTCTGTGGTGAAAATACTCTGGATGTTGAGAGTGGGAAGGAGGAGAAGGGATTGAAGATTAGAAGAATTCAGCTTTTAGCTTGGCAAACAGCAGTAGCTCTTGTTCTGCTGGTGTGCTGAATAGAACAGACATAATTCCATGCAAAAATTTTGCTAGAGAAGCAATTGAAATTAAAGGTTGATAAGAAAATAAAGACGTAGATGTTAATAAAAGGTAAATGGAGCAAGAAAGTCCAGGCATTCAATGAATAGTTCTTGTACTATGTGGACTACTGGCCAAGTGACAAAGGATATATATAAGGCATGTGAATACTCACACACAGTTAAAAAAACAAACAAACAAACAAAAACACATACACAAAAAATAAAAGAGCTGCTACGAGTTCTGTGTTGGGAGGATGAGCTGAACTCAACACAGGCATACAGCACAAGAAAGATTTTTCATAAAAATGAAGTAAAATTTGGTGCAGTCCAACTGAAATAAGTACTTATTGCAATTTTAACAAGGTTAAGAAAAAGCAGGGTAGCAGATGAGATTATTTAGTCACTGGAGTTGATTTACTTTGGAGAGCATTAGCCCTCATAAAGTCTTAAAAGGTAGTTCCAAATTGCTGAGTTCAAAGCAGACATCTGTCTGCCCTGTTGTACTCCATCCATTTCCCATAACATGCAGGAAGTACTTCCAAGGTAAGTTTGGAACCCCTGTTTGTTGGATAGAAATGAATATCAGTGAAGTTTCAAAACCAAAGGCTGAAGGATCAAAAGCTCAGCATACAAGGTTAATTTGTTGGAGAAAACAATGTCAGACAAAACCATGCTGGAGAACCAACCAGTTTTAGGAGTATTAACCCAATTCAAGTTAGGTTCATGTGACATATGTCCTCTTGAGTTTATAAAAGGTTAAAATATTTAAGAGTTTCGCTTTTGTAGAATTTGTGTGCCTGGTATACTGTAAGAAATAGAATTCTCAGTTATTACCAAGAGCAGTTTCTGACAGCTTTACATTCAAACATATGGAAATAAAGCAAGTACATGCCAGAGCTTCACTTACCCAAACACTGAGCAGGCAGTACAAATATTCTTAAGATATAAGCAACGGTACACATTAGAAACCAAAAGCATGCATAAGACAGTTAGTACAGACTTTGCATTATTTCTTCTCAGGTAACTAAAGTTAGCCAAGAAATAGCATACAGAAAGAAATTCAAAGACAAATAAAAACCCTCATGTCTAAAGCCCAGTTCAACTTTGGAAGTAATCTTGGTTTATTTCAGAATAACACTGTGCTCAAAGAGAAAGTTGAACACAGTTTGGATTAAGTCAGAAATCTGAGCTAAAAGATGCTCTACTCCAAACAAGCTCTGTTGTTAATCCATATGGGATGAAGTCATTTACCACCAGCCCAGAACAGAAATTTAATATTGCAGGTTAGAGTCAGCTGAAAACACACATGGAGCACAGTTAGACTTCTAAGCACAGAGAAGAGCTTTAAAAACATAGTTTATTGGTGTGATACCAATGTAAGGATCTGGAAATTCAGGTTATAAGGGTTGCATAGAAAGCTAGCAGAGTTTATGCATTCTGCAAGCAACATAATTAAAAGAGTTAAATAAACCCCTTCAGTTTCATTTTAAGACACACTAGGGTTAAGTTCTTATTCATATGGATTTATAGAGATAGAAATAGATTTCCTTTATGCACATATGTGTTTTATAATTAGATTCAGATTCAAAGAAATATTTTATCTGGATTTTTTTTTTATTCTAAAAAGAGTGGTATATGTATAATACTACTTTGAGCCACTTAGAATTCAGGATGAGCTACTCTGTGAATTAGTCAAAGACTTTTTCCATGCCATACATAGTAGAAACCTACTGCTGATCTGGTTTTCCAGTTAATCACCAGACCATGCAGCCTCTAGTCTATCTGCTCCCCAGCAGATCCAACAGTATCATGAGAAACCAACTAATTTGAAAATAACTGAGTTGATGGCGTTTATGTGGAAGTACCTTTGTCTATGAAGGTAATTGTCTTAAGGCACAGTATTTGATTGCCATATTTGTACTAAAAGTTTGTTGTGGTTTTCTTTCTTAAGGAGAAAAAAAAATATACTGACTAATCAGTAGCATTTTGAATGGAATACAATAGTACTGGGACATCCAGTACTCCACACAGGCCACAACGAGTTCTTAAAAAATTATGTGTTAGTGCCAAATATGCAGGCAAGTTTACTGTTAGCAAATCTAGTTAATTGCATCAGAAAGTCACTATACCCAAAAAACCTCTCCTAAAAAAATAAAGTAATAGCTCACATTGCATTAGGGAGATCAAGAAACAGAAATATTAATCTCCAGCCAGTTATATCATACAGAAAAGACAAAGCCAGAGGTCTGGGGTTTTTTGCCCACAACTTAGTGTGTGCTTTCTAGCAATAGAAAGAAAAAAAATCATCTTCTACCACTCTACTAAAAGTAAAATATTGGTCTGGAAGCTTTAAATGAGAAACAAGCACTAATAAACCCTGCTGGAAGTTTAACACACCATCTGAGCAGAACCAGGCAATCACACTACCTCCACCACTGCTCCCCCAACCACGGATCACAGTGGGCCCATTTCCTTAGGTTAGTTGATTTTTTAAGCAGAAGGACTAATGCGAGGATCCCAACGCAAGCTAATAAGGGGGGAAAGCCACAAGAAAAAAACTTCTATCACCAAGCCCTTCTTTCCCTTCCCATTCACTTCTGGAGACGCAGGTTCTGCCAGTCATATCTTACCTTCTTCAGAAGTTACAAAGAGTTACAAACAGACCCACTCTTTCGGTGCTTGTAACACACTCCTGGCTTGATCGCTCAGCTGAATCAGGCCATTGTAGTCATCGGGTGCATACTACAGTACAAGTGTGACACGGAGAGTCAGCAAGAGAAGGAACAGTCCTGCTACAGCAAGCCACACAGATGATCATTTGCAACCATAATTAAGAGCATCAGCTATAATAACTGGCAGGAGACAGTGAATTTGACAGATGCTATTTTTACACAAGATAAAAAAAAGTACATCAACTGTATTACTGGTCGTAGGAATAGATATAAAATAAATGCTTGTGGGGAAAATTCTGAACTGTATTTGAACTGTTCCTTATTGAGGAAGGGAAATAGCTCAGATTATGAAGTGCTCCTTTTTTTTCCTTCTACTCATGAGATGGCAGCATCAGGTAACCAAACTCTTCAAGTTTGCATGAGCATGATGACACCTCCAGTAATGGCTCTCACTGGGACAGATGAGCATCTCCCAGCCTGCACACTGAAGTGGGGCATTGGTAGAAGTGTATGGATCTCATTCAGACCTTTTATGTACCCATGGAAATAAACTGCACCTTCTCTAGGGTAGAGTGATAAACACTTTAACTGCATATAATGCTTGCACTACATAGACTACACCAATGCAATTAAAGAAAATCAGTGTCCTGGCATGAATGCACCTACAAGATAAAATTTATACCAGTGTGGTATATTTCTACATAGAAAAAAGAAATAAATGATCCAGTGTAGCTGCATCATGACAGATTTGTAGAAGTAGTATATTAAAATAAAAATAGTGACTATACAGTACAGTCACACCAACAAATTAAAACAAAAACCTCATATATGTACCAGATCTAAGAATTACTTGAGGTCCTGAATCTGATCAGTAATCACACATACTATTGGCCTGGTACAAATATAAAACATATAGTCAGAAAATACATCTTGGGGAATATGAAACATTGTTTTTATCTCATAATCTTGCCAAATTATATCCTGGAAAAGGACTGAGAATTCTTGCACATGCTGCAAAGAGTACTGGAGTGGCTCCTATAATCCAGAAGACAAAGTGTGTAGCATAACACAAATTATTGAATATCCTTTTGGTGGCAAGAAGGTTTTCTTGCCCTGCAAAATGGCTGGTTTGCACTAACATTTTAGATGATTGCCAAATGCACACAGTATGGATGTACTATGCTGCCTTCCTTTGATATTTCTATAATACAAAAAGTCTCCTGCCAGCTTAGGGAGAAAAAGGTGTTATATTTGGGCATACAGGACACATCGTATCCATCCAAAGGGAAGTTGGAAAGAAATAAACAGCCAGTATACACCTTTCACAGAGAACAATAACCAGGAGCCCAGAGAACATAAAAGAAAAGAACCTCCCAGAATTTTTACTACTGAATTCTAGTTACCTTCACATCTAGACCCATGCCATTAAGTAAAAGACAAATATAAGAATTATTTTCTAGATAGTCTCTGCTAGGGAAACCAGACCGTGCAAATATTAGATTTATCAGTTCCCAGACCTGCCCTTGAAACAAATCTACAAAATGTACATTTGCTCTTTGGAAAGAATGTCTCAAGATAGTACATACTTTAGATTATCAGTAGATGTACAGTAGGCAAAGATCTACAGGCTCTTGTGAGGGACAGTATTTCAAAGGTTACGCTTGAAATGCAATAAACAATGTCGAAAACATGAAAGTGGGAAAACTATCCTGCACAGAAAATCAAAGTTGTCAGAGCTTAGGTTCAGACCTAAAGAAAGAGAAACAGAAAGAAGAAAAAAAAAAAAATCATCAAAAGACCTAGAGATAGAAGCAGCTTCTAATCGCAAGAACAATAGGTAAGAGACTGCAGTCAATTAAAACAGAAGCTGTGGAACAGTAAATTCTTCAAATGAAATAAAAACTACCCTAATTTGCCTGAGTAAGTACATAATTGTGAATATACTTCTGATTCTATCTGCATTTCAGAACCCATAAGAACAAAACAAAAGTATTCAACCACACAGGACAAAGCCAAGGGTAAACTGGTTAATAAAGAGGTAGTATACTACACTTTCTCTTTGTACATTTTTTTCCTCTTTTATTTCTTTCATCTATGGTGAGGGAAATATGGGACTGTTCTCGTCCCCTCACAGACTATGCACAGATTTAACCAGGTCACTAACCAGTAAGTCATTGATTTCCATTTCATTTTTGCAGTTCCTACAGTGAACATTCAAAGCTCAGTCTAAAAAAGGCACATACAAAGCAATCTAGGTGAAAAAGAAAAAAAAACACTGCTAAAAAAAAACAAACAGGAAAGTATATTTAGGTACACCTCAGCTGGGAAAAAATGGGAGCAAATAAAAGGAAAACATCATAGGAAAAATGGCCACTTCCTGGATGGCAGCTGCAATTATGGCCTAAACTACCAATAAACCATAACAGAACAGTTCCCAGAGGGGTCTCTCAGACTTTGGAAAAAAGCCTAGATAGACCAAGCCTGGAACATAAAAGGAGATCTGATGACTAGGTAACTGCAACCTTTAGCACAAGAGTCAGGAGAAATGCCCTAAACTGGCTTTGTCCCTGAAGTGTCTCATATTCCCAGCAGTGCTGATATTCACCAGCACTCCGAGGAAGGGACCCCACTGGAGTGGTTTGTGTGTCAGAGAGACCCCACTGGAGTGGTTTGTGTGTCAGAGAGACCCCACTGGAGTGGTTTGTGTGTCAGAGAGACCCCACTGGAGTGGTTTGTGTGTCAGAGACCCCATTGGAAGGGTTTGTGTGTCAGAGCCTGCCTGTCCCTGTACCAGGTAATGCCTGTTCAAGCTGCCACTTCAGCCTTGCTTCCAGCGTGGGAGGCAGCAGACAGAAACTGGAACCACTAATTTACCAGTCCCAGTCTCATAGATGGTTTCTCCACACAGGCAACACTTTCAGGTGAAGATACATTTAGGACTAAAGCCAAACAAACAGCGTTCTCTATTCTGAGAGCATGGGGGTGAGCATAAAATAGTGTCTGTATTGCCAGATGACTTCAAATACCAGTAAGTGGGAATTCTATCCCCTTTCCCTTCCCTAGTCAAAATGTGCTATCCCTAGGATTGGCATACAGATGATGGGGTGTCCTTCTCAGACTACAAAGAGTCAGATTTCAAAAGGAACCCATAGGAAACAGAGAATACTTCTTTGTTTAAGCATGCATTTCAGAGAAAAAAACCTAATCCCTAAAAAGTCAGTAACAATGAAATCAGCTGTCCTGACACAAGAGAGAAATGTTGCTAATGCCCTTGGAATTTAGCCATGCACCCACTTCCTTTCATTTCCTTATTACTGTTTTAAGCACAAGTCACCCTCCTCCCCTCCACTGACAAGCCTTGAATTCTGGGTCTCTGAAGACTTGGAGGATTAATATACTGCAAAAGGTCTTTTTAACTGCAGACAAAAGGCACCAAAGCCCAGTACAGGTTGAAAGAACAGTATTTATTTTAAGCTTCTCTTACCTGAAAACATGTACACAAAAGTCCCTACATTTCCATTCTAGTCTTTTTCAGCAAATTCAGGAGGTTTTAAATAAAGTGCCCATGGTCCCTAAATCTTAGTCATCTTCTAGTTTATTTTTTTTACTACTATACTTAGAGCTTACCTAAATAGCAGTCTGCTTTCTAAGCACTAATCCATGGGGTCTTTTTCAGGCAGGCATGAATTCACATTCATGCCAACGTCCAAGAAACTGGGCAAGTCCTCCGAAATGCATGCTGAATCCTAGCCAAGACAACAGCTGGGAACTGGCTTTGGGCAGCTAAGACAGGGGCACAGTTAAATTGTCTCTGCTTATTCATTAACCCAACGGTTCTTGTCACGATACCAACTGGGTCAGTATTTGCATTCTCATAGAAAAACAAACAAAAGAGTCAGTATTTGGAGACTAGAAATATTTCTCATTGATTCGTTCAGTGGCTAAGGAGTAAAATCCATAGAGAATTTAGCCACTAAATATGAAAAAAAAATAAAGATATTTAAGTGAAAATGTTTGTTCTGATACACACCAACATCACATAAATCCATGACCACTACTACCCCTGTTCCTTCATTATTTACTTGAGTTTTCTCACTGCTTCTACAGCTGTACAGAGCAATGACCTAAAGGAACACTGAGGAGTCTTGTTGCATGTAATTAATATTTTTGCACCACTTCTTCTAGCAGGTGTTTTAGCACTTGTCAAAGCAACTACTGTCACCCCACTGTCCTGTGAATTGCATAGTGAAATCTCTGATTTTGTTGTTTTGGTTATTTTGGGTTTTGTTGTTTTTTCAATGTAGTTTTAGTTGGTTTGGATTTTGTTTTTGTTTTTTAGCTATGTATCATTTAGCTATGTATCCAGTATACAATTGGATTCAAATCAATGCTCCTGTTGCATGACAGTGCAACTAAAAAGCAGTTTCAGATGTATTACTGAATCAGAGAGTACTAACATTAGCTGTTTTGAAGATTACAGTATACTACAATTATATACAGAAAGGTAATGGGGAAAATTACCATCTCCAAGATTTACTACTAAAATTTTTCACAAGTTTTTTGATTGTTTAATCCAAGTTACAATAAATAGAAGGAATTTTCAACAATAAAAACAAGAAAGCAGAACCATGAGAACAAATCAAGCTGCTGAAACACTAAGCAAGAGGCTAATGTTGATAAAACTAAACTAAAATTAAAATGCTGATCTGCAGACTTTTACATTATTTGTTATTAGAAGCATGTACTGATGTTGAGACCAGCTTGTTGAAGCCCACGATAAGCAAAGTCTGTCTCTGAAGAGGCAGGTCTGGTATGAAAGGTGCTTTCACTTAAGTAGCAACATGTGCACACATGCAATATATAGAGCCCATGAAGACTGAAGGAAAAAACCAGAAGAGAATAAAGCAAGAACTAAAACTGAAACCCTGTTCCTTTCAGAAAAGGACATAAAAAGACAAAAATCACCCTTCAGTCTCAGCATCTCCGATCTGATTCCCAGAGCACCAACACTGAAGCCCATTGAACACCAACATCAATTAGCTCTACAGAGATTAAAACCACACCAAACCACTGATGATTATTAGGGGCTCACTTTATGAACAAGCAGAAGAATGATGTAATAAATCCTTGGGCAGCAGCAGAAAATGAAAAAATAATGTGAGGAAAGGGGAGGAAAAAAAGAAAAAAAAAAAGATTAGTTATTGCTCCAGAGATATAATTTTGTCCCATTACAGTAAGTCACCACCTCTTTTTTCCCTAAAGGAATCAGAGAGTATAAAACTAGCATTACCACACCCAGGGTTCCAAGAACAATTCAAAAGAATTCCTTGGCTTCTTTATAAGATTTTGAACCCGATCTCATTTGGACAACATCTTCTAGAGAATCTGAAGAGGTGACCAATTTAGTAACAGTAACTGATGATGACAGGAGGTTGCAGCAGCTGAACATAGTTTTCACCTTGTGGCAAAATTTCTATTCATCTAATCCTTTAACTATGCAATACAAACACCATGAACTGCTCTCCAAATGCAGAAAGAAGGAAAAGGGCAAACAGCACCAGACACAAAGTCCAGATTCACTAAACTAAAGATTTAGTGGGAAATAGAGCTACTAAAGATTGTCACTGACCTGTTCCATGCACAGACGGGTTCAGGCCACATTTTTCAAAGGTGCACTTGCTTACTTCTAGCTGAATTTCAGTTTCAAAAATAGGCTTCCCCACTTAAGGTTATAATACATCTACCATCTACCCACCAAAAACCCCAGTCAGCTGAAAAAAACTGCAAGGCAAAATATCAGTGCCTAAACAGCAAGATGAATTATTATTACTGTTTGTGTGGAAATCATGAAAGCCACAAATAATTGAATTTGGTTTGAACTCTTTTCTGTTGAAGAAAAAGCCCTTAAACCACAGCAAATTTAGTTTCTTTTTAATCTTTGTCAAAATTTATCACACTTCTTATGTGCTAATCTTCAAATTTTTCCACTGAGAAACTGAATATGTAAAACTGTTTTAAACAAATGTAACATTTGAAAAAGACACAATAGGTAGAGCACTGCATCTTCCAAGTACTGAAAACTTGGAACATACACATTTAAGCATCTGTTCTCAGTGTACATTCACGTACACAGCAGATAGCTGGCTCTACAAATTAAAGCTCATTGTTCTTTAAGAATCTTAAGGTAAAAAAAGAAATAAAAAAAGAAAACATACCATGCCTGAGTGTTTCATATTAACTGCTGCTACCCCTTAAAAAGAATCCACCTGCATCCTATGCTTTAGCACTATCACTGTTATCCACCTTACAGAATGCTGAAGGACAAACATGCAAAACCTTTTCACACAAATCACTGGCAGTGGTTTGAGACCCACCAAGAGGATTTTATGTCAGGGCTTCTGACTAGTACCCAGAAGGGCAGAGCTGGCAGTTGTGTAAGTGCTGTTATTATCCACAGAAGTTAAATATGGACTGGAATATACCATATTCAATTATCTTTCTTCTTAATAAACTTGTGATGACAAAACATGATTATAGATACAATATCCTCTGAGACAAAGGGCAGAAGACATGAAAGGACCCATTCCATGAATTCAAATAAGTGCTACTGGAAAAAAATGTTTGTACTTGGTGCTTCTTTTTTTAATTTATCAAGAAGACAAGTTTCTATAAGTTTGCTCACTGAGAGCAATCAATCAATACATACTGACTGAAATTATCTATAGCACGTAGAATATTTGCTATCAGGACAAACAGTTTGGAGAATACAGTTTTCCTTTCGTTTGCAATGTAATGCAATTTTAATGGAAAATATTCCTGCCTGTGACCAAAATAGTCAGTACTTGAAAGAGTGTCTGACAGAGGCATCTGTCTTTCTCTTGCAAGCAAGTCACCACAGCCAGCTCAGAGCCCTCTGTACTAGAAATTTGCTCTCAGCAAAGGACAAACATTGGGCCTACCTAAGGCTCGCACCAAAAAGTGGTCAGGACTGAAAGCTTTTGGCAGCTCCCCTTGCTCTGGCAGCCCCTTCCAGCCCCACTCACAACGGGGCTCTGCACTTTCTTGCTCTTCAAACTCAAACCCCCAACCTAGACACTAAATCACTGCTTTCTAATTAGGATATGTTTATTATATAAGAAATAAGGCAAACTGTGTGCTACACTTTGGTCTGGCAGTTAAATATGGAGCCTGCACACTCGTTTGGCAGATTCCAAAAGCACTGACTTGGCTCCATCTGATCTCCACCGATCGAGACTCGAAGGTCCAAATACAACGGCAAGCACAGGAACTGCAAACTAACCTGGTAGCCCTGGAAGAAGCTGAGTATCTCCTTCATTCCTGTGTTGTATGGCAAGCCCTGCATCCGGACCAGCGCTCCAGGCTGGGGCAGGAGCGGAGTGTGGGTGGCAGTGGCAGCAGCAGCTACAGCTCCTGGAGGAGCTGCAATGTACCCCACTGTGGTTGGAGACACTGGAGGACTGAAAGAGAAAGAGGGAGCAAAATTGTTATGAAAACCAGTAGCCAGTTCTAGTTCTTGGAATAGGCAGAGATGAATCCGAAAATTTAAGTCTGAAAGTAAACCCCAATACCACAGAAAGTCAAACAGCCCTGATGTGGATTGCTCTGTGGACTTTCTTAATTTCTCTTCAGCATCTGATAATCTATTTTTAGAGAAAGGAGGGAAAGGAAAATAGCTAACATTTGTAGTTAAAGACATAAGGAGTGGCAGTTGTTATTTCACAGGGGAGAACAAAAAATAGCTGCAGAAGACTTAAAATAGTTAATAATTTCCTAAAGAAAAAAGGAGAGGGGTGTGTCATAATATGAAAAGCAGGCAAATGCCCAAATCTGGCATTTCTGAGCCACAAAATAGCCATGAGTTAGCATCTCCAGCTCTGGGCAGGACCCATCCAGCAAGTTACCACATACTCAAGCTAACGAGTGTCACAAGCCTAGAAACTACCAATGTTTCTAGGTAGTAGCTATTTCCCCATGGGCCCAAGCTCCAGACTGTAGTGACTCATGCTGATACCATCTCTGGGAAGGGAAAAGGTGGATATCTGCTTTGCTTTCACATGTAAGTGTTCTTTGGTCTCAGTGATACACAAAATCAAAACTAGTACACACCTATGATGAGCCTTTCAGTATGGAAACAGCGTTGTAAGTAAAAGAACAAACTAAGAGATGAGTGTGTAGAGGCATTTATTGACACAGCTTCTCTCCTGGCCAAGAAATAGAACTGCCTTGCTGACATTGCCCCAGTGCCAAAAAACTCTGTTAAATATTAGACCAACATTATCATGAGATTCCAACAGAACCTACAGAAGAGACGAACTTCACTGCGAGGCCACAGAGAATCAGTTAAAATGGTTACTGCCTCTGCTACCAAACATCGAGTTCCCAGGACCACCTACCCCACAAGTACAAATTTAAGGGCTGTTCACAAGTGACCACCCAGTTGCCTGCTGCACTGAGATGAAAGGTCAAGAGAAGCAGTTAAATCTTGGGGTTACCTGGGATAGTAAGCTGTGTAATTCATATAAAGCTGAGCAGCCTGAGCTGGGTAGTAGGTAACAGCTGGAGGAGCAGCTGCAGAGGCCTGGGGAGTCCTGGTGGTTGGCAAGAGAGCTTGTGGCTGGTACAGTGCTGCCTCTGCTGGAATCACAGCTGCTGTCTGGAAAGCAGCATAAGCTGGTGGAGAGAGACCTAAAACCAAACCAGGACACAGCAGCAAAAGGCAATCAGAATGGAGGTCTCTAGGATGTGTAATTCCTTTCCTACAGCAATGTGATTAAAATTGATTGAAACCATCTGGGCATGATAGATAAACACCTGAGCAAAGACTTGTCTCTAACCTCTCCCCTGGAGACCCTTGCTGTGTCACCATGAATGACAACTGGAACATTTGGAATGAGTAATTCCTGAAAGTTCACAACTGCTAGAGCTGAGAGGCCTTGTCCACATGTAAATGGAAAGTAGGGAACTTAAGAGTTATTCAAAGAAAGCATAAAGCTATGTGCATAGAGAAAGCAGGCGTGCACACCAACACACCCTCATTTTTTCTAACAGAAGTTGTACTCTGTGGGACAAAAGTATCAAAATAGGAGCTACACATGGGCATCCATAACTGCTGACCATGAGTCTTCTTCATGTATAAGCTTCCTGTGGCTTCAAAAAGTATTTTTAGGATATATCAAATGGAAAAGAGAATAACCCACTAGATCACTAGTCTGATGCATTTTGATGAACAATTACCTAATTTGTATAGGAATATTAAGCTTAGCTTGGTGTGCAGTCAGATTGTTTTTATATACTATATTTGGCAGCTTTTTACTCTTTTGCAAATACACGTCAGTATCTGCTTTGTGATTTGGTAGTGACACTAATTAGAACAGTACAGTAAAGGTCCATTTTAGTTCCTCAATAATGTTCACTGTAATTTTAAAATAAAAGAATTAAAATCCGTCTAACTTCACCACTCTGTAGTCTGTTAGTATATCAACCCAATGGGTGTTTTCCTTCAAAAATAAGCCCAAAGAGTACCTTCTCAATGCTCTAAGGCAAGATAGCAAGAGCACTCATCGGCAGCTAGAATATAGAACTTCTCCCTATTTTAAAAATCCCCTAGTTGCAAGTAGGTTTCACTACAGGCAAGTCTACTGCAGAGCTCAGAAGAACAGTACACCCATCAAAAGCAAAGTGTGCAACAATTTCACTGGCAAGGCCTTGCTGCCCTCTACTCATCACCGAAAATACAATAAAAACGCCTCTGATCAGTCCCATTATTGCCCAAAGGGAACAATTCCAATCTCAGCATGTATATTGATCATGGCAAAACCCGAGTCAAAAGGTGAAAGGCCACAAGCTTCAGCACCTACCACATGTCAGCCTTTAGCAGCAGAGAGCAGAAGAATTGGAGACTTACATGGTAACTTACATGGCGGTGGGGATAAGCCACTACGATTTAAAGTGCCACCCATTAAAACAAAGTTCATCTCCTCTCCTGAACACTGGAATACTTCCACATAACGGTCCTTCATCATTTTTTTGTGACATTTTTGAGCCACCATAAAGGCTTTGTCAGCAGATTTCATTTGGATAAAAGCATCACCTGATGGTCGTCCCTAGGGGGAGGCGGGGAAATAATTGTAAGTCAGTCTGTTGTTAAATCACCCAGATCACAAGAAATGCAAGATCAAACATCTACTGAAAGTCTGTATTGCTCTTCCTCCTTTGGCACTAATGACTATTGACCCAACAATTATTTATGAGAGCAGAAAAATCAAGACTCATGCAAGCAGTTCCCAGTTAACACAATGCTTCACTCTTCTGCAGAAAAAAACAGAGAATCATGAAGCATGGAAAAAAAAGTTTGGAGGTCTCTAATCCAAAGGCTGCTCAAAGCATGACAAACCTTCAAGTTATATCAGGCCACTCATTGCCTTCTCCACTTGATATCTGAGGATCTCCAGGGGTGGAGATTCCACACCATCTCTGGGAACCTGTTTGGGTGCTTAGCTAATTTCTCATTGTGATTTTTGTTTTTTCCTTTTCACCTAAATGGGATTTTTCTTGATGCAATTTATAAACACTATCCCTTATTCTTTTGCTGTGAAGCTCTAGGAGGAGTCTGGCTTTGCCTTCCCTGCAACTACTTTTTAGGAACAACGGCTCCAGATCCTTCAGTAAAGTCCATAGCTACATCAGAAATTGATTTCCAGGTCTGATTTTCTGCAATCTGACAGACACAGTTGTATACATAAAATACTAAAAATTTCCTTAACCAAAAAAAAAAAAAAAATCAAAACAAGTATAGTCAACCTGTTTCATTTGTTTTCTTTAATACCTCAGTATTTCTGTGGCTGAGAGTTTATTTTTAACACAAGGCAACAGGGAAAATATATCCCTATGATCATGTCATTAAAATATACTCAAAACACAATTTTTAATTAGCAACTTCCTTTAAAGCCTGAGAAATCTCTAGTCAAATTATAAGTTAGGAAAACCTAATTTTGACACAAATACCACTCAAACAACACAGCAGGAACCCCGAGGCTGACAGAGCAGCTATGCCATCTAATAAGAGACATTTCTCTCTTGTATATCTCCAGCACCTCACTGAAACATAAGAACCATTTCAACAGGGTTGAAGAACATTATCATTATAAGAACAGGCTTCATCCTCCCCAGACTGATGCATACACACATACAGAGAAAGAAAAGCAAGTCTGTATGTAAAAGGGGAAGAGAAATGAGGAAAAGAGACAAAGAGAACATTGTATTTTCCCAAAGTTAAAGACTGAAGCACAGCCAGGATCAGCTAAGCTGCCCTGACTTCCAACTCCGTTCAGACACTGGCAAGTCAATCCTCCCAGGCAAAGTGCTGTTACCTGTTGATTAAGGACCATGTGAACTCCATGGGGCTTGATGTCACCGGTGGCGTCTCCCATGAATTCCAGGATGTCATCGATGCCCGCAGTGTAAGGGAGCCCTCGGAGCCGGACACAGTCCCGGACACTGCCCGTGGCAATGGTGTAGGGGGGGGGGATGACTGGGATGATGGGAGTTGGCAGAGTTGGGATGAGAGGTGTTGACATATATCGATTAAGTACCTGTTGGGGAAAAAGCACAGCAACAGATTTACACATCATCTGCCTGAGCACAGACCAATCTCACAGTACTTTTCACAACAGCATGGAAAAAAACCCTTCTTAAGCCAAATTACTGCTGTTACTTTCCTGTTGGGCATTTGAAAGCTTCAAACTCAGAAAGGGAGAGGGAAAGGCTAACAAATTCAATTTGCTAGACTCTAATAACAGACTTTTCTAATCTCAATATAAAAAAGGTTAAAAGCCAATTGCAGTTGATTTTATGATATCTGAAACCACCTTTGTGCTAATAAATCAGTATTGTCACATACAGTTCTTAGTTAAGTTAGGGTTAATTAAAACAAGTCATTTTAAAAGAACTGAGATCTGAAATAATCAATAAGTAAAAATACGAGCTCTAATTTATTCATAAAACCTGACTGGTTAAGTGAGAGTTCTTGCTTTTTTAACCTGAGTGCTCATCTCCAAGTGCAGAGCTTCTGAAGAAAACAAACAAATAAATAAGAACTGTAAGAGACTTCGATCTCAGCATGTCCTGTTGACTCGTTCCCAAATGACAAAGTGAAAATATGATGTGTTAGGGCTTACTGCTGAAAAACATTTTCAGTGATGATTATCACAAATAAACACACTCTACTGAAAGAGGTACCAAAAAAGAGGCTACAGCTTTAGTTTTGTCAAAAGGGATTCTTCTTAGTTTTGAGTCTCACAGCCAATAGTTACAACCTGTTGGACTTCTGCTGCTGTGCTCCTGAAGAGTTCTATGTAACGTTTTCCAAGTATTTCTTTGTGCTTTTTAAGCGCACTTTGTGCATATTCTTCGCAGGAAAATAACACAAATGCATCTCCTGTGGGCCTGCCATCTGGGTACTTGACAAAGAGAAGTCCCTCTTTCCCTCCTGTGACCGGGCACTCGGGCCCCAGGAACCCCAGGACATCCTCCTGCGTAGCAGTGAATGGAAGGCCTCTCATCCGGATGATAACTTGGTTCTCCTTGGATAAGAACTGGGCCACTTCATTGGAGGTGCCTGGTGGACAGAGAACAGCACGTGGTCATGCTGGTCACTTCTGTAAGACAGAGCAGTGGCAAAGCAGGAAGGAAAAATACAGGAAGGGAGTAGAGAACAACAAACCCACAGAAGACCTGAGGCACTACTCTCAGCAATCTATTCTGAAGTGAAAATCTCTGACCCTGAAAGTGTTTTATGTTTTAATGAAATTGGAACAAAGATGAGATTAGTGTGAACTTATACAAATCTACACAGGTGCCTCCACTGCAAGAGCTCATCTTCCTCCCAGACAGCAAGACCTGCCCGTGAACATCACAGCCCAAATGCTGACAGCTCACTTTCAACCACATCAAAACAGAACTTGACAGGGTCAAGTATTCTTGTAAGGCAAACCAGGAAAAGCTACTTCATTATCCATTTGCATCCTCAGTCAAGAAAAAATATCAGAACTAGAACAACATTCCTATGGACTTAAGTAATGGCACTGAACTCCAGCATCACTTACCTCCTGCAATTTTTAAGAATTCCTCTCCAGTTGCTTTGTAAACCTTAAAGAGAAGAAGAAAGAACAAAAAAACCCTACATGAAAATCATAACACTCAACTCTAAACAACACACAAACTCTTTCACAAGCCAGAGAATGGTATTTTGGTACTTTGAGCAAAACAGAAGGGCAGTTTGTTCTTATTTAAAACCATGGCCTAAAATATTCACGTTGCCCTCCCAAGATTTATTTCAAGTCACAACTTTTTACCTCAATGTATCTGCTGCCCATGTGATGCTTATGCCTTTCCAGTGCAAGGTCTCTCTGTTCAGAATTTACAAACCGAACTAAGGCCTCCCCATTTCTTCTTCCTTGGGAATTCAGACAAAGAGCCACACCACCTCTGGAAGGCAAAACCAACAAAAATAAACTTAGTTCGACTCTTTAATACAGATAATACACTAATACAAATAATTGTGTAAGAATAGTAAAAAAATCAGGCTTTAATGTGAAGGTTAGAGATTGAAAAAGAAATTGCTACTATCCACAACCTTATTTCATTTTTGATGTAACACGATTATACTTTAAAATCTACTCCACCGAGATCATGGATCTCAGGTTGCACCACTTTCTCAGCTTCCATGAAAATGTAAGTTTGCAAGCCCTTCCTATCACCTCAGAGATGCAGATTTTGATTTCCTCAGAACTCTAAATAAAGAACTGTATTTTTTCAGTATTGAGAATCCAGAACACAAAGTGACAGATATGCTAAACTAAACTTACTTTCTCTCTCTCTATATATATGTATACAGACATACATCTATACAGAGGTGTACAAATGAGTCATATGAAAACTTCTTCCAAACAGGGAGGTTTGTGAATCTGGCCTGCTTAGGAGGTATAGCAAAACACTGAAGAGCTGGCACAAAATTAAAGTTTCTGTTGTACCCTGGACTCTGCTTTGATTAATGCAATAGGAGTTTCTCCCTTTAGATCCCAGCAACAGATGAACGTATGTTGGTTTTCAATTGATAAGTCTCTCAAAACTCTTTCTCACACACTTAAGGCTGGTAAACCTGTTCATTTATCATGACCACAGGACAGGAAGGGGCCAAATGGGAAAGACAAGTGGAAGTGAGGACTCTAGTGGGAAGTGGGGGGGATGTGTCAAACAAATATTGAAGGAACTTGCTATTAAAGACAAAGAGACAAAGCAAGGCAAACTCTTATTATCTTACTTGGCAATATTGAGACCTTTGAAGAATCGAGCAATATCTTGGTCTGAAGACTGCCATGGCAAGCCTCTGGCACGTATTACTGTCTCACTGTCCACAGTTTCAGATTTACTACTACACAAGAAAAAAAAAGAAGCCAAAGTAAGCTTGAATCTAGGATTTCCATCATCTTAACAAATTTTGGATTGCAACAGATTTAACTGTAAATTGGGAGTATATTTCCTGTTGAGACTTTTCTATTTCTATTTTTCATTTCAATAAAGAAAGGAAAGATGGCTGGGATTATTCTTTTATATATACACAACACTGAAGAGATGCACTATCTTGTCACCACATCGCAGTTCCTTAAATGAAAGAAAGATAGGAAAACTGGCTTAAAGTAAAGTAATAAGGAACTGGATTAATTTTTTTAAAAAAATCTAACAATCCAAGATAGATGAATACAGGGCAGTCCTAAATATCAGTACAAATTACTTATGCCTAAAATGCTTCATTCTCCAGTCACTGCAATATATTTGAAAATAAAGAACATCCTGTTTCTTCTCTCCCTAAACCCAGCACACAGCACAGCATATAAGACTCTTTAGGAGCAGCACACAGCTCAGTTGCCTATAGGGTGCACTGGCCATTACCCTGTTGACTCAGGGAAAGTTCACAAATATTTCCTCACCACCGGGTAAGATAAGCCAGCCTCACTGCCATGCAAACCAGCAGCAAGAGAACAAAGAGCATTTAACTTGCAGTGACTTTAAAGAGGCTAAAGTACAGCATCCAACGTGCCAGCTCCAGTCTGTCCACACCAGACTGCTGAGTACCTTGTTACTGTTCTCAGGAGCCAATCTGCTTTCACAGAGGAAAATATTCACAAGCCTTCCTTACTATAGACAAGACCCATCTTTGCTTGTAAACAACTGTGACACTTACCAAGGGCCTGTTTCATACTTGTGTTTCACAGTTTCAGGCTCAGTAAATACGTGATCTGCAACAAAACAAAGTTTATATATAACCAGAGTCAGAGATTACTTAAGAATGACACTCCCAATTCCTTCAGAAAAGAAAGAGTTCCTTCCTTAAAAATAGTTCACTTACTACAACCTTCAGAGAGCATGCTGAAAATGATGGCCACCATGGTTTTCACTTGCCACACGCCAAAGTCCTCCTCTGCTTCATCTGTCCCTAAGCCTAGATCTAAACAGGTGATTATAGAAAATAACAGACTTGCACAACTGTTTGGAAACAAGTTATAAGGCTTTCCTGATATTAACACAGAAGTGGTAATCAAATTTACTTGTCTTAGGAGGGACATGTGAACATTAGACATGTTACTCTGCTCATAAACTGGTTAATATTCACTTTAATGGTCAACAGTCTGAAAACTATTAAGAGCTTACATAAATTCAGTGTTTACAGTTTAAAAAAAAAATAGCTGAATAAGTTCCCATCACTTAAAACATAATAACTTCAATCACACTCAGGTGGCCCACAGGAATGCTCCTAATTTGAATTTAGATGTAGAGTATTGTTTGGGTTTTGTTTTAAACTCAGTTCAGTCGAGATCATGCAAAAGAACCACTATTATATGCAAACAGTAGAAACTTGTAGGTCATCTGGTGCTGAAAAGGTCACTGACAGCTCAGCTTTTGCTTTAAGATCAAGTATCAATACAAGTTACTAAATATGGTTTAGAAATCAGTGTTAGACTCAAACTGGAGGAAAAAAATTACAAGCAGAGATCCCCCAACACATGCTGCTTTCACATTCCTTTCACTTTACCTGTGAGTTTTTAAACCCCACATCTTAGTTTAGAAGAATAAAACCTGTAATTATCACAGGCATAAAGTTTGAGGAAGCATAATTGATTCTGAGATAAAAGCTGCAGCACAAGGATACATTCTGCCATGGTCTTGATGGTCTGATCTTTGCCGGCGGCTGAACTGGGGTAGCAAGAGCGGAATTCTTTGCGCAGGTCGTAGAAGGAATAGAAGCAGTCTGACAGCAGCAGGTTCTGCAAAGAAGGCAAAAGGGTTGTTTTGTACACACTTTTCCTTTGCATTTGCATTAATATTTCCAGACTGAATGAGGCAGTCTCAAAAATCACATAGTTGCATGTCACCAGCTTGTCTGTGATTGAGCAGTTTGGTTCCTTTGGAACACAGTTCAAAAACCACAGCTGTACAGAACTGGATCTCTAGATGAGCAAATCCAAATAGCTTCTGGGAGGCAGACCTGTGCAAAACAGCTGGAGAAGATGGTTGAAAAAATATTTTAAAATATCTAGGTTTTGCTGTTTAATATTCCCATTTAGGACACTATTTTCTCTTTTGCAGCTACACTGAGAAGCAGAATTGTACCCAAACATGATGACAAAGTTAAAATAACTATTTTTACAGTACACAAAATATATTTCAGCAACTTCAAGTTATTTATTCATCACTGTTGTGTATTGGGTAAGAACTTTAATTATATAACACTATTAAACAAATGTTTAAGTAGCCCTTTACTCAGGCATGAGCTTATTTTCTCAAAGAATAAAAAAAATAACTTGGTCTAATTCTCCACTTTCTCCCTCACTCTCCAACTGCTTTACCAAATAAAGCAGTTGTAAATAATGGATTAAGAAAAGTCACAAGGTAATGCTTTTTAGAATAATAGGAATAGCAAGAGCTAAGGTCTGAGGCTTACTAACAATGTGCAGAGAGAAAAACTTAAAAATGAAAAAGTATTGAAGAAGAAAAAAAAAGAACTAAGATAAAGAAATGCAGTACTAAGAGACTCAACATTTGATACCAGATTGACATCATTTGTCCACACCAGATACATTCCTTGCTCTGGTGTGAAGAATTATTTCTTCCACAACATCACAGTTTTAGTTTAGTGCATTTGTTTCAAGAGGAAGTACAAAGAATTACCCCCACAAAAAAAAAATACCAGTGTGTTTGAATGACAAATATAATTCCTGTTTCCTTACTTACCTCATCCCTACAGAAATATGTGCTTTTCATAAAAAGTCAGTGTTAAGTTTTAATACAACACAAACACCAAACCAATACTTGTAGAAACTCGGCATGAGCCAATACTCTTATATAGAGAAGAAAACCCTACAACTGGTCAACTCCTTCCATGTCAGCAGCTCTCATCCCTGTGGGGTTCCTGTGGGGTTCCTGCAAGCTGGCAAGCAGGCAAACTCAAGACCCACCACCTTACACAAAGGCAAGAGCTGTAGCTCTGCCTCCTGCTGAATAAATGCTGCTGGAGAACCCCTGCCATTCCCCAGGGCAAGGACTGCCTGCATGCCACCCCTGCACAGGGCACTGCCACAGGGCTCCCACTGATTTCAGAGCTCGGGAGAAAGCCATGGCCCTGCACACAATCTGGGCTTTACACAAGCCTAAGCAAAGCAATAATTCTCCATCACTTCTGCTGAGATCAGATCAGGACCTTTGTTTCCACTCCTTGAGACACAGAATTTAAAGTACTTGTACTGTCATTGTCTCTGTCCTGTCATTCCTAATTTTCCTCTTCATTATGCTCATCTGGGAGTCCAGGTACTGTAACTGACTTTCAAGAGCAAGTGCCAAGAATAACTACTTTGCTATAAAACACTATAGTTCACAAGGTTGAATTGAGTGGCTCCCCTCAAACTCACACAAGCTATTTTCTTTGATGTCCTTACAACACAGTGCTGCTTTTTTGCATCAGTTCTGATCTCATACCTTTTTGGATGTTTCTGGGTGGAGGACTTGTCGAATGAGTAACTGGCCATCACTGCAGAGTGTGTAAGAACTCCTTCCAAGTACTTTCAAATCACTGGATACCAGCTGACTAAACTGAAAAACAAAGTGATAAATTTCATTGTATTGACTGAGAGACATAATTTCATGAAACAAGCACTTACCATTATTCCAGCACCTTTATTTTTTTTTTAGGATAAAGTAATTCAGCACTTTGTAGAAGTTTTTAAAAAAGACATGATGGAGAACAGACATGGGCTCCAGATAAAAGTAAGCAATAAATGGTATGCTTTTGTGCAATAGAAATAAGAACACCCAGAGTATAGTAAAAAGATCAAATAGGAAGATAAGGTCATGGTATTATATTGGTAATGTACAAATTCTAAACTATAATAGAAGTTATTAAATATTTGAAAGAATTTTCAAGATTAATCCCAATACTGATTTTGCAATACCTTTTCTTCAGTTTTGGTACCTTTGACTTTGGTTATTGACTTCATAATTTATTTTTTTCACTTCAAAAAGAAAAAAGCTACCCATCAGGATTTATTGATGTTTCAAAAGTAATATGCTAGGAATAGCCAACAGATCATGGTCAAATACTTTCAAAAGTGAAATTACAATGAAGTCAGATCCAAGCCAGTTAAAGTTCTTGGTATATATATATTGTGATACAGAGCTATGAACACTAGATAAAACAAAATTATTCCCTACCTGTAGGATGGATAATCCCCAGCAGGTTACTTCTCAAGAGGAATGATCTTGTTCAATGTTAGTTTCCATCCTTACACAAGTTTCCAACCTTTTTTTACTCCATACCACTGTTAAAATTCCTTGCTCATAACAGTCAACTACCATATTATAGTACCTACATCATATCAGTAAACAGTAGCTTGTTAACTAACTTTCAAGGGGACAAATATAATTATTCTAAGCTTCCCTCTTGATGCTACTCCCTCCCAGGAAAGCACCACCTCACAAACAAAGCAATAATTATCATCACGATGCAGCAGCCACCCAGTGCTTTCAGCAACAGCTTACAACTCCAAAACAACCAAAAGTAAATTACAAGTTGACTTGAAACTCAGACAATATCTTTGTGTTGTCCTTTAACCTGTGTATGGGGAGAAAAGAGAGTAGCATTGTTTTATCATCAACACATGTGATGCTTTCCATCATTCCAGTCTCTGCTCAGAAAGCCCATGTCCTAATGATCCCACAGCTCCACAATCCAGAGGGAACAAATACAAATGATCCCAATGATCCCACAGCTCCACAATCCAGTGGGAACAAACACAAATGATCCCACAAATCCAGCTCCACAATCCAGTGGGAACAAACGCTGCAGCCTCTGCGGCCCAGAGGGAAGGGCTCTGCCAGGGACAGAGCGTGTCTTCAACGTGATTTAGAAGGAGCAGAGATATGATTACCCAGGCTTTATTTCCAAATAACTACTCCAATGCAATCCAGGCCCTTTTTGCAGGCTGGGGCATCTCACCAGCGTTCCACTACCATTCTGAGCTCAGAAATCCTGTAGAAGTGGGTATTACACATCAAAACAGAAAACCGAGGGCAGAGCTGGGTAAGGAGAGGCACATAAAATGAAGTTATTTAATAGCAGAGAACATATCTGAAACTATACGAAGAGAGAAATATCTCCCCCCTAAAAAAACCCTTTACAGTGCAATTCTTTGCACACTACCAAAACACACAGAAAGAACCAACACATCATACACACATTCAAAAAAAAAAATAAAAATCAGCCAACCCAAGCCCTTGCAGATTCAGAAAGCCAGTTTCCTCTTAATTGCTAGTACAGGTTTGCATTCCTACCACACGTTGAAGTCTTGAAGAACCTGAGGCTATAAAGCAAGTCATTGTTCAAGGATGATTTAAAGTCAGAAAACTGAGATCTGAGAGTGCTCAAAATACCTCAGCTGATGTGTAAACACCAGAAAAAGAAGAAAATTCCAGTAGACTCAAAAGGAACCACTTCAGAAACGCAGTTCTCTGGACTACCACAGTCACAGACCAACAACAAATATTCTCTCCACAATAACATGCATGAGGAGATTTGCCTTCTCACTAAATGCAGCAACTTATCACTTTCTATTTTAACTTCTGGGCACAGTAAAGAGCAAATATTTGTAAAAAGGGATTGGAAATGGTGATAGGAATCAGCTTCCAGAAGGCATACGTGGATTCTCCCCAAAAGGAAGCAGAATCTTCCTGATGAAACATAATAAAACACTCCCCAAATCTTCAACTTCATACCCTGTGCTTCTGAAGATGCTCAAGAGACAATAACAAAAGTGCAGTTAGAGAGCTATTTTGGTCAGATACAAGAAGAAATCCAACCCACACAATTTGAAGGAAGCAACAGTTGTGTGCAGCCTCCTGCTGTACAAACAAAACATAAGAACTGTCGTTCAAAAATACTTTATCAAGTTAGAAAACAATAAGAGAAAAATGCTTGGACAAGGGAGGAAATGCTCAGGTCAAATGGTGTAAGTCAAGTTAGTATAAATCGGGACTGCTCACTGAAATATTTCTTTATTTTTCCCATGTGGTGTTTCCCACACAACCTACAGCTGAAAAGACAGATACACAATACAGCTACTTTCAGAAGCCCAGAGTGAGAAGACACCAAAGTAGTAAAATATTGCATAAGGACACTGATAAGACCAGTATTCCAAGCATACTCAGGTTTAAAGAACTCCCAAGAGGCAGCATTAATTTTTATTTTTTACTTAACCCTAATATTTGCACTGTATATTTATTAAGCTTCAGGGACAATATTTGACACTGCAAACTCCTTTCCAATGAGACAACCAACATGTCAAAACAATTTTCTACTGTTCTTACTAGATGCCAGCAGCTTAAAGTGCTTTTGATAAACCTCCACAAGGTTGGCAAGCCTTGCTGAGAGCTTATTTAGAAACTTTTATTTCAAAACCAGCCATTTTCAAACTTCGGGGTGTACTGCTGCAGAAGAGGGCAAAAAGAGCGCAGGAAGAATAGTCAGGAGACATAAGCAGTCCTTCCCATCCAAAACAGCTTAACTATGGCATGGGTTAACTGAGGAGAGAATGAGGGAACAGTGCAAACAGGTAGATTCACCCAGGAGAAGAACATGGGGCAAAACAGGAAGCACAGCACTGCCCCAGAGGAATGACAGATATTTGAGACCAGCCTGAACCAGCTCCTTCATCTATGTGAGATGTCACCAAATTCTGCAAAGGCTGAGTACAAAAAGCATAGCAGTGGACTAGCTCGGGTTGTTCCAGATTAGGCTGGACCTTCAAGTCTTTTAGGCAATAGATACACCCACCATATCACATGTGTGGAAGGTGTTAAAGCAATCAGGGCAGGGGTGTTTATTAAGCCACATTGTTAAGCACAACAGAAGCCACAGCAGTTAAGCAATTCAGCATTCCTGACGAAAAGCCATTTTCAGCCTCCTTTCTTGCACCACAAGTTTCAGGCAGCATTTCGAAAACCAGCCATGACCGGGCATACACCCAAATGTAGCAAGCTGAGGACAAGTTGAGACCAGTGCCAGATTTACATTACATTTTCCTGTCTCACATGTTGAACGACCTGTCCACAACTCTGTCATTTGGTAAATTCCATCCACATCTCCTTCACTCTCCTTATAAAAACCATCTCAGCTATTTACCTCCTGTCACTCACCTTCATCCTGCCCTCCACAGCACTCCCCCACTTTAGCATGAAAAGCTGCCCCACCTTAAGGCTTCCTCCAAGCTTCCACACCCTGTCTGCCCTGTTAATCTCCTCATAGCAGAGTTATACAGTGTTAATTACCACTGCCTGCATCTTGCAACTAGCCCTCATTTCAACTGCAAGAACCAGTCTATTGGCATCACCCTCCACCTCTAGTGCTTATTCCACCAGATCAGTCTGTCCTGTAGAGAGCTCTGATGAGTCATTCCATATTTAAAGGAATATGTTCCATAATTCCATACCAAGATTAAAAACTGAACAGAGAGAAGAGGAAGAACCAAACAAGCTGCTCTGTACATTTGCCTCCATGAAACCAAAAACAGTTCTAAGAGAAAAGGTGATGAGAGGGAAGGACAGACTTTGAGCACCAGTTTGAAAAACTGGCTAAACGTGATTTTGGTTGTGCAGCTGAGAGTACAAAGAGAGTGAAGAGACAAGTTCTGCCAGCAGCAAAGCTGGATGAAAGCCAGCACAAGCTGCTGTGTTTTTTACAAATGAACCCCAAGGGACTGAAATGACAGCCCCCTTCATGTTGCCTTAACTATACAAACAAAGCTACGGATCTTAGACAGAATCAGAAGATTCTTCATTAAGCTCTTTCTATAGTTATGATGCACAAAACACTAAAATAAACCTCTGGATATTTGGATATTCCCATTTCCTTAACTAAAAATAGCTCTCATCCTTGAGAAAGGCCACTGCATCTGTGCCTGGCAGGGTAATGAAATACTGAGATAATTCAGACACAGAATGCATCCATGCTGTCAATGGCACCATTTATAAAACACCAAGGTACTCTAGGGGATTCTCTCTTTAAATCACCCCTGAGAAATAACAAAATTTGGCTGCTTCTTACTCATCAGACCTCCAGCAACTCCTAGTCAGTCTTCAAAAGGTGATCCTTTCCTCTGTTCTGCTTCTTTTGGCCCTACTGACCCATCACAGCTAACAGCACCAGGCAAGACACAGAATTATTCTCAGAGCTTCAGAATTAAAAGCATTTGCAATTTAACCAGGTCTGGAATGCCATGCTAAAGCACAATATAAAAATCCAGAAAACAGTTTAGCCTGTAATCCCTGCTTAAGATACATGTGAATCTATTCCCAAGTAGAAAGATGAGTTATTAGATTTGTTAAAAGTCTCTGCACAAAGAATGGTCCTCACAGTGTGGGGGTCTGGTTCCAAATCAGTGCCATCGACAAGCGTGTCACTGAATTGGCCAGAGTTTGCCATTGGTGATTACACCATGGCCTAGTTTCTGCCAATCAGCATATCAAAAAGTGCTCATTTTGACTTCCATGCCATCTTTTGATTTAGATGGGAGAACAAATCACATCTGGTCCAGCCAAAA